TGAAGGACGCGTTTTATGACAGTCTCGATAAAACTTATGATGAGTGCCCAAAACACGACGTGAAGATTGTAATCGGAGATGCAAATGCGCAGGTCGGGAGGGAAGATTTCTTTCGTCCAATCATTGGTACAGAGAGCCTACATACAGTAACCAATGATAACGGCCTGAAACTGATAAACTTCGCCGCTGCTAGAGGTATGGCCATCAGTAGCACCTACTTTGCACGCAAGAATATCCGAAAGCACACCTGGAGACACCCAAATGGCGAAACTTGCACCCAGATCGATCACATGTTGGTGGATGGCCGGCACTTCTCAGATGGCATTGAATTAAGGACTTTTAGGGGGCCTAACATTGACTCAGATCATTATCTTGTTGTCTGCAAATTTCGGGCGCGTCTATCGACCGTTACGAATTCAACGAACCGGAGATCGATGCGTTTCAATATCCATCGCTTGTCAGTAGAAGGTGTTGCTGCAGAGTACCGCCAGAAGCTTGATGAGCGGATTAGCGAAATCAACGTGAACGAGGACCTCAACAATCTGTGGAACACAATCCACGGAGCGGTGAACACAACAGCACAAGAAGTGATAGGTACAGCTCAAAGACGACCACGTAATGGCTGGTTTGATGAGGAGTGCCAGAGGTTGACGGATGAGAAGAACGTTGCCAGAAGCCGAATGTTAGTGTCTGGTACCCGGCTGAACAGAGAGCGGTACAAGGTAGCAAGGGCAGCTGAGAAACGAACCCACCGCAGAAAGAAAAGGCAATACGAAGAACGCGTGATTGCTGAGGCGCAAGAAAGTATGGAACAGAACGATATGCGAAGGTTCTACGCGACTGTCAATGGTGTGCGGAGTAAAACAGCGCCATCTCCCGCCATGTGCAATGACCTTGAGGGGAATTTGCTGACAGATAAAACAATGGTGGCTGCCAGGTGGAAAGAACATTTTGAGACATTGTTGAATGGAGAGAGTGAGGGAGTATCGAGGAACAGAGTAAACATCGCAGACGACGATCAAGCTGTGGAGCCTCCAACGCTAGACGAGGTTAAAAAGGCAATACGTGAGCTGAAAAACAATAAGGCTGCTGGGAAGGACGAGCTCCCGGCCGAACTTTTCAAACACGGAAGTGAGCAGCTGCATCAAGCAATCCACCGTATTCTAACGAAGATATGGGAGGACGAAGAACTGCCTGCTAGCTGGTTGGATGGCCTCATTTGCCCATTATTCAAAAAAGGGCACAGACTCGAGTGCGCCAATTATCGAGGAATAACTCTTCTGAATTCGGCGTACAAAATACTGTCACGCGTTCTGTTTAACAGATTGAGACCGCTTGAGGAGTCCTTCGTCGGTGAATACCAGGCAGGTTTTCGTGAGGGCCGATCAACGACGGATCAAATGTTTACCCTGCGTCAAATCCTTGATAAATTCCGAGAGTACAACTTGCAGACTCACCATCTGTTTATTGATTTCAAAGCAGCATACGATTCAGTGAAGAGAAATGAGCTTTGGCAGATTATGCTAGAACATGGTTTTCCGGCGAAACTAATTAGACTGATTCGCGCAACGCTAGATGGATCGAAATCAAGTGTAAGGGTTGCAGATGAGATTTCGACCTCGTTCGTGACCTTAGATGGATTGAAGCAGGGTGATGCACTTTCAAAATTACTGTTCAACATTGCTCTTGAAGGAGCGATTAGGAGAGCTGGTGTGCAGAGGAACGGTACCATCATCACACGATCGTACATGCTCCTTGCCTTTGCGGACGACATCGATATCATCGGAATTGACCGTAGAGCAGTGAAAGAGGCGTTTGTGCCTTTTAAGAGGGAGACGGCGAGGATTGGGCTCACGATAAGTTCTACCAAAACGAAGTACATGGTAGCCGGTAGACAGCGTGGGAGCAATAGTGGTGTTGGTAGTGTAGTGTTGTTAGATGGTGAACAATTTGAGGTAGTGGAAGAATTTGTGTATCTTGGAACACTAGTGACATGCGATAATGATGTTACCCGCGAGGTGAAGAGACGTATTGCAGCTGCAAACAGGGCCTTTTACGGATTACGTAGCCAGCTGAAGTCCCGTAGCCTGCAAACGAAAACAAAATTCGCTCTGTATAAGACGCTGATACTTCCGGTAGTCCTCTACGGCCACGAATCGTGGACGTTAAAAGAGTCTGACCGGAGAGCATTTGGTGTCATCAAGCGTAAGGTGCTGCGAACAATACTCGGCGGTAAACAGGAGAATGGCATCTGGCGGCGTCGCATGAATCACGAGTTGTACCAAGTGTATGACGGTACGGATATAGTGAAGCTTATAAAACACGGCAGACTACGGTGGGCTGGGCATGTAGTGCGGATGCCGGAAGAACGACAAGCAAATATTGTATTCAGCAGAGAACCCGGTAGAGGTCGTCGACTCCGGGGTAGACCTCGGACACGTTGGCTATTTGCAGTTGAGGAGGACATCAGGTTGCTAAACGTTCATGGCGACTGGAAGCGATTGGCTCAGGACCGAGTCCAATGGAGAAGAGTACTTCGTTCGGCGTTGAATCAACCTGGCGATTCGTAGCCCATCAAGTATCAAGTAAGTAAGGGGAAATGTCTCTAATGTTGGCCTATGAATCTAAGATTGGGCACATCGCTAAAAATCTGCTATTTATCAATTTTATCTAGATGAACGCGTCATTGGGACGGTACTAATGAATATTTTTGGTCGCTATTGAAAATTTAGTCGATTGCTGAATTTATGAATGGGCCCAAATTACCCAGACAACCAGAAGTCGTATAACAATGTACAGACAGTTTCGTAAATTGCTACAGTTTAAGTCAACATCGAATATAAGAATAACATACATCACATTATGTTTAAGTTAAATCGTATAAAATGCAAATTTCCGACTTACATACGAAGAACCAGTTTTACATCGTACTGAATCACAAATGGAATCGGATTACATCGTAAGACTTTCCAAATTTAATTTGTTAAATCAACTAATTTAAAAAGGAATTCAAATTTTCACGTATATGGCCTCCACTTTTGTACGTATAAGCCATTTTTTTGCATTCTATACGATTTGTTTGTTTGTATATATGTTTGTAAATCGCAGAAACAACTTTGAATATACGTGTATTCTGGTTGTCTGGGTAGGGACACTAAGGCCGAAATTACCTGCATTTCCCCTATAATCCATTTGACAGATCGATGTCCTTCTATGCCACTTAAAATCATTGAAATCAGGCCAGTGACAAGGCCTATACCAACAGCAGCGTTTGGCAGTAGGTAGCATGTTCCGGGCTCAAATTGTTTATTTTGCTGTGCTGGGCCCGCTGTCACGGTATATCTTGTTGCCTACGCGCCTACCACTGGACTGATTGAAATAGGGTCGATTTTTGAAGATCGAATTCCACATATGTTATGTGAAAAGACCCAATAATAAACATCTTTACGGGCGAACAATGACTCCAATTGATAATCAATAAGAATGCTGAAGAACAGAAGGTAGCCATAAATTAATTCTGTAAAAAATGGTTTAACCCTTATCAAACATATTTGTTGAAATTTCTAAAAAGATTGTCATTCCAATTTGGTAAATCGATTGCATTTTATCTTCGAGGTAGTGCAAAATACTAAACCAATTTTAATTGGAAATTTAGTATATGAAACTACATATACACACACTTAGAAATAATTAATTTTACACGTGACGGAATCTATGTTTGACATAAAGGATCAGACGTAAACTAATATGACATGTAAAATTAAGTGCTCCGAGACTGAAATGTTCGTTACTCGTCGAAAAGTACGTTTGATTGAATTGAATTGCGCGTCTGTTATGACTCAATTTTATGTCAAAACTGACGCTCGTATATGTCAGTCTCAGAGCACCTAAATTTACATTATTTTTTCTAAGTGTGCATTTAATATGACTTTACATCAACAGAAACCAATTAAATATAGATATGAAGCCTATCTTAGGTCAAATTATTTGTTTATGTTGTCATGTACTGTTGTGTGGGTCCCATGAATACATTTTGGATTTATTTTACGTGAGCTATATTCCATTTGGTTAATGTTTGCTTAAATTTGACATCGGAGGCGAACCAGCCTAAGGCTGAAAGCCTCCTAAATAAAGCTAAATTAATTAATTAAATTTGACACTTCGAAAATTAATAATAATATTCGGAAATCCCTCTGTTGTTGATCTTCTGACTTTCGAGAAGGATTTGGTCAAATTTGATCCCTGGTCTGTCAGAAATAAGTCTGACTGCAATAGCAGGTTTATTTTCAAATTTGCCTCTGTCAAATTTCAGTGAAAATTCATCAACTGGAACACAGCTCTAGTGTGATAACGCTCCACTTTATGAAGTACAACCTCCATTCTACGGAAGAAAACCATCCAGTGATGTCGTTACTCTCTATTTCACAAACATTATTAATTTTCCCCAATAGTGCAAATTTATCAAAAACAAATGCCATCGGAATAGTTGTCGAGCTTGGAGCCTCTGAGTGATCATTCACGTAGTTCATGCCTAAAAGGTGTACAGTAAGGTTCATTTTGCTCGCATCCACCGTAACACAAGCACATGACAATGCAGCTTCAAATTTGACCAACTGAAATAATTTAAACTTTAGCTGCTTACTTCCCATTGTCAGTGGATGGGTTCAGTTTCTTGCACAACCTTCACAACTGGATCACATAACATCGAAGCCATTACATTTCACAACCCTTTTAGCCCACAACAGTGTTCACACTTCCAACGTCAACCCATTAATTTCACTTTCTAATCACTTGGCCTTTGCGCTCACTTCTTGCAGCAATTATCAATATGCACCACACATACCCCCCCCTCGCTTCGGTACCCAGCTCACGTGGGGTTCCTACTTCACGCAAAGCAATCATTGGAAGAAAAAAAATCCCCTTCAACTGCTAAATAATTCGTAATAAGCCACGCACTCCGTCAACCGTGAAATGATGGATTTTCGATCCAACTCACTTACCCAACATTCCCATCAGCTCCTCCAACGTATGATCGACCGCCATCGTGCTTCAGGTGTCACTCCAGACAGCTCAAGGAACGTGCCAAAATCGTAAAACCCGACGACCTCCAACTGCGCAGTCGTCGTCGGTTCAACTTTCAAACAGAGCTGTCCTTATTTCAATATTTGCACTACCATTCACCGCACTTCCGATCTGGAGTTCCAAAATCCGCACGTCCGATCGCGACGAGTCTCAAGAACGATCTAAGAATCCCGCACGCTGCTAGCTTTTTCCTCAAGTCTATCAAGAAATCCTTCTGGAGCACCGAAACAAGCGACGACGAGTGGGGGGGATTGACGACAGCCCAACCGAACGAACGATCGTATCGAATTGCAAACAGCGAGCCTTGACAACCGCTCGTGCCGAACGATGATGCAGAACTCGCGAAATTTTTACGCCAGGTTTGCCGTCGGGGGGACTTGGATTGGCGCGCTCTTCAAACCATCATCATCATCATCATCATCATCATCCGCTGAGCCACCATCAGTCCGTCAGGAGGCGCGTAATCATTGAATGCGAGAGCACGAGAAATACCAAAGTGAGCGCGTGGGGTTCGCCTGCGGAGTGAGTTGATTGCTCTTGTTTCTCTGAGTCGAACGGAGCTGGGATTTCCACCTGATTGCACTTTTCTTCTGTTGTGACCGAGGTTTGGACTTATTTTTTCTCAGTGATGCATTTTTGTGCACTTTTATCGGTCTTAATTGGTTGTTTGTTTGTTTTTTTGGGCTGAAAAAGGAAAAGAGAAAAATAAAAAGACAATGATGCAGTTGTTACATGAACGAATGTGTGCTACATGCGGAATGCTGTACATGGTTGAATATGGCTGAAAAGAGAGCGAAATAAATCTCGAGCTAAGTACAATGACAGCTTTTTTTCAAGCAATGATGTAGGTAGATAAGAAGGAAACAACATAGTAACTGTTACTTTCACTTTCAACGGTGTTCAGGTGCAAGCTCGTAGAACTGTAATCCATGAAATATTATCAAACTGGAAGATACTTGGTGGCGTCACGCGACAAATTTCAAGATTCTTAAAACTAACGAAGTTTACTAAGTCAACTTAAAAGGATGAATATTAAGAATAAAAGGTTGAACATATTTCGATTGTATCAGTCAGTTCACTTAAAATAAAATGATTTAAGAATCAAGGTTTACCATTTTCTTGGAGACTCATTTTGGAGCAATTGTACGAGGAATACAAAATTATTGACGGTTGTTTTTTCCTTTTCTTTTTTTTCTTTTGACGTAGACTACGTCTTACGGGAAGGTACTGGGTGTAAAATGAAAATCTAAAATTGCGACCGTCACGAAAAGGTGTAAGGTTTTGAACGCTTATAACTTTGTCATTTATAGATGAAAATAAAATCCAAATACAACAATCGATAGGAAATAACTCTCACAATCTGCTACAATAAATGCTTTTATAATTTTCTAAAAAAAATCGTTGAAAATGTACAAATAAAGAGTGGACATTTTATCACTGTTTTCATGAAATTAACGTTCTTCCCAAACCAAGTCGTCATAATCGAGTTCCATTTGGTTGTGCATCGTTTTGCTTGAACCTTTAAAACTATATAAGAGCTCTGCTGTCGTTCCTCCGCTCATGGTCATTGGTTGCTAGACCGTATAGTTCGTTCGTTCGTTCGTTCGCTCCGCTGTCGAGTTTCTTCTTATTCATTTTATTGTTACTTTCACGTCGTGGAAGTGCCATCATCAACAGGCACATTGGCAAGTCTTATTGCAGTTGCCACTAAACAAAGCATGGTACACAAGCGTTCTACTACTCCTGCATCGGAGGGCCCTAGTAAGAATGCCCAAATAAACGCCAGCGCTGCTTCGGATGACGTAGATAACCAGCTGGTACAGAGCAACCAATTCTCGGTCTCGGAGTTGAAAATGGCGGTGGTGACACCGCTGAAATTGCCAAAAAGGAGCGGATTCCCCCGCTATTCACCCCGATGAAGTACGTCGTCAAGCTTAAGGATGAGCTGGCAAAACTCAATTTTTTCCCGCGATTCAATATCTGTAGCGTAGGAAAAAAGATCATGTGCTCCAGCCTACAGCAGTACAAGCCGATCGGTGACCTACTGAAGAACAGTACGGTGGAGTTTTACACCCACGATTTGCCTTCGGTGAAACCATTGTAGGTTGTTTTACGGGGACTGCCGTCGTACGAAGCGGTTACCGTAAAAGATGAACTGGTTAGGCTCAGATTGAAACCAGAGGCACTCCACCTAATGGTCCACTTCACGAAGGGCTCCACCACCCTTCCTGCGCTGAAGATCAACATACGTAACCCGTTTCAGGTCATTATCTACTGGGAATCCTACAAACCACAACACCGTGATGTGACCCAATGCACAAGTTGCCTCTCCTTCGGCCATGGTACGAAGAACTGTCATATGAAACCACGCTGCGACAAGTGTGCTATGGCCCACTCGATGGCGACCTGTGCTCAAGCTGATGATACCGAGCTGAAGTGCGTGAATTGCGGCGGTACTCACCGTGCCACTAGTCGGGACTGCCCCAAGCGAACGAAATACATCAACATCAGGAAGAAGGTGGCTACTAGCAACCAGCCAGGCCGGCATCGAAATAAACGTACACTTCCAGCCATCACGGATGAACAATACCCGGCAAACCAGCCCCGTCGCCTAGTCCCAAATCTCCCACCGCTACCCTTCAACAATCAACGAGCCACCTCCTCAGCTCAGCATCGCCTCATTGCTGCAGCGGCCCTGCCCTGAACTGCCCTGCTTCGTGTTATGTTATGTTCAACGGAGATGGGATGGGCATTGAAGTGTGCACGGGGAATATATTGTATAACGGAGGATTAAAGACAAGTGTTTCATATGCGAAAATATCCCTAACGGAAAGTCCAGAAACAGTCAGAAAAATTACTAATAAGGGTGAGAAAATTGACATTTCAAGGAAGGGAAATGGAGTCAATTGAAGAAATAAGTTACTTCTACTGTATTTTAAATCAATATCAAGGAAAATACACGATAAGTTCACTAAACATCTCAACGTAGTCTACGTCAACCATGCGGTCGTGTCTTGTACACAAACTCACCCATTTTTTCCGCCAGAATCTGTTCCACAAGCAAGTGTCAATCACCAACGCAAGGAAGGCGACTCTACACCTGGACTTACTTACTTACTTAAGGGCTCTGTGCACCACCAGCGCTGCAAAGGGCCAACGTGAAAGACTTCCATCCTGGGCGGCTGCTCGCTTTTGCCTTGACCTGGGTCCAGGTCAGATTCCTATCGACTTGCTTAATTTTCTTATTGAGGCTCCGCCGCCATGAGCCCCTGGGTCTGCCTCTGCTGCGATGTCCTGCCGGATTCCAATCCAGCGCTTGCTTGCAGATTTCGTTTCCGCCCCGTCGAATTTCTGTTGCTATCGGCTTCTGATGACATCGACGATGGATCTCGGCATTCGAGATCCAGTTGTGAGGCCACCAGGCACGAATTATATACCGCAGGCATCGGTTGATGAAGACCTGCAGCTTTTGAGTGTTCTCTGCTGATACACATCACATCTCGCTGGCGTATAACAACACAGATTTCACGTTCGAGTTGAAAATTTGGATTTTGGTGCGTTGACTTATCTGGTTGGATCTCCATACGTTTCGTAAACTCGCAAAGGCAGCCCTAGCCTTCTTGATTCGTGCACCTATGTCGCTCTTGGTCCCGCCGTCCGACGCTATTTGGCTGCCAAGATATTGGAAACTTTCGACCTTCTCCACTGCTTGCCCCGCTACCGTAAAGTTGGAAGGGTTGCCCGTGTTGATATCCAACGATTTGGTCTTGTTGACGTTGATGGTGAGACCCGCCGCAGAGGAGCGTTCGGCTAGGTCATTGAGCTTACTCTGCATATCAGAGCGCCGTTGTGCTAATAGAGCAACATCATCAGCCAAATCGAAGTCGTTGAGATGCTCCATGGTGATAGACTGCCAAAGCAGCCCACGGTTCGGTACACGGTCAATTGCATCTCGTCGATTACGATGAGAAACAGTAGCGGTAATAGTATACATCCTTGTCTCACACAAGATAGGCTAGGGTCGGACAAGGCTCCATTATGCAGAACTCTGCACGTGAAAGCCTCATACTGCGCTTCGATGAGGTTGACGATTTTATCCGGGACTAACTTGCGTCTCAGGGCGCCCCACAGATTCTCGTGATTGAGACGGTCGAAAGCTTTTTCGTAGTCAATGAATACCAAATAAAGGGACTCTTGGAATTCATTGACCTGCTACAGGATGATGCGGAGCGTGACAATATGGTCGACACAAGATCTTCCGGCACGGAATCCTGCCTGCTGCCGTCGGAGAGTCACGTCGATCTTCTCCTGTATCCGATTCAGGATAACTTTGCACAGAACTTTGAGAACAATACACAGTAACATGATGCCTCGCCAATTGTCGCACACAGTCAGATCCCCCTTCTTTGGGACTTCACTAAGATGCCCTGCATCCAGTCGGCCGGAAAAGTCGCGGTGTCCCAGATATTACAGAATAGTTGATGCAACATTTGTGTGGATAGCATGGGGTCAGCTTTGAGCATCTCTGCTGATATGCGATCGACCCCTGGAGCCTTGTTGGATTTCATGCTTCGGATAGCTGCTTCAATCTCCTGCAGTGATGGGGCCTCGGAATTGACGCGAGTGATGCGCCGCACCCTAGGCGGATCATGTCGAGATGTTGATGGCTGGTTGGCCGTCGAAACTTGAAGAAGTTGTTCGAAGTGTTCAAATCAGCATTTCAGCTGGTCAGTGGGGTCGGTAAGCAATTGTCCAGTCGTCTTCACTGGCATCCTCGGGTTCATCCTTGCTCCACTTAGGTGTCGTGAGATATCGTAGAGGAGGCGTATATCGCCAGTGTTTGCGGCTTTCTCCCTTTCGTCGGCCAGGGAGTTCACCCACGCTCGCTTGTCCCGTCTGCAAGAGCGCTTGACTTCCTTCTCTAGAGCCGAGTACCGTTGACGGGCTTCGTTCTTGGCTCCTCTGGTTCTCGCCCGCTCTATCGCGACTTTTGCTTCTCTACGCTCCTCAATCTTCCACCAGGTTTCATCTGTGATCCACTTTTTCCTCTGGGTGCGCAGCTCACCCAAGTTGCTCTCGCTTGTTTCTATAAAGGCATTCTTGATGGCCGTCCATTGTTCTTCTACGCTGCCACCTTCTGGAACGTCCGCAGCTCGAGTCTCAAGTTCTTCAACAAAAGACCTTTTACCGCTGGATCTTCAAGTCAGCGTGTGTTGAACCGCCGCCCGAGTATCTCCTCCCGTCACTGGATCCGCGACATGCGTAGGCGGATTTCGCCGATTAGAAGGTGATGGTCAGACGCGATGTCGGCGCTGCGTTTATTCCGGACATCAAGAAGGCTCCGTCTCCATTTTCGGCTGATTCAGATGTGGTCGATCTGATTTTCGGTATGTCCATAACGGGAAACCCACGTGACTTTGTGCACTGGCCGATGGGGGAAGAGTGAACCTCCCCATGTCGTTATTGCCACACAATTCTGCAAACAGCTCACCGTTCTCGCTCATTTCGCCTAGACCATGGCGTCCCATGACACGCTCATAGTCCGTGTTGTCGGAGCCGATCTTCGCATTGAAGTCGCCAGTGTAGATCTTGATGTCACCCTTTGGAACCTTATCCACGACGGCATTCAGTTGACTGTAAAAATTCTCCTTGTCCTGTAGCTCGGCAGCATCGGTTGGCGCATAACATTGGATTATGTGATAAAACATAAAACAGCCACACATTATATACGATTGTCAAATGTCAGGACTCCAATTTATTCTTGGAAGGAAGGCTCATTTTGAATGACCTTCTTTTTTGGTTTTATTATCTTTGTCCACAGGTACTTCCAAAGTTGTTAAATGAGAGCTTAGAAAGCATGTACCATTTCAGCATTAGTATAATTGTGTGACAAGCACGGTCATACCAACCGGTGGAAACCAACGATTTTAAAATGGCCCAGACAACCAGAAGTCGTATAACAATGTACAGACAGTATCGTAAATTGCTACAGTGTTAGTCAAAATTTCATATAAGAATGGCACACCTAGTATTATGTTTAAGTTAAATCGTATAGAATACCAATTTCCGACCTATACGCGATGACTCATTTTTCCGTCGTACTGTATCACAAATTAAATCGGATTACATCGTAAGACTTTTCAAACTGAATTTGTTATTACAGATTAAATCGTAAATGATGTTAAATCAACTCGTTTAAAATTAAATTAAAATATGCACGTATATGGCCTCCACTTTTGTACGTATAAGCCATTTATTTGTATTCTCTACGAATTGTTTGTTTGTATATATGTTTGTATATCACAAAAACAACTTTGAATATACGTGCAACCTGGTTGTCTCGGGGCTCACTACTTGACTAGCCTATTGGTCCCAAGCAAATCGATTAACTTACCCCATTCTAGTCGACATTCTAGTACTACACTATGTTTGTTTTGATTTGCTATGAAAGTTTGACAGGTAAAATGAGGGGTTCATGGATTATCCTATGTTTCGAAGGGTGCATCGATTAGCTTGGGACCGAAAATAGTAGATACCAGAGCTGAGCCAAAAAGTTGAGCTCGTTTCTTCGGAACCTTCTGGTCTTAGAGTTACCTCTATGGTCATACTCTATTCCCAGGTAAGTCGAGACATTTTTCTACCCGGAAAATTCCTAGACCGAACCGGGAATCGAATCCAACCGCCTCCAGCATGGTTTTGCTTTATAGCTGTGCCATTACCGACTGAGCTAAGGGAGGCCCCATTCAATGACGTGTAGCACAGTATGTAAAATTCAAGTAAATTTCTGTGATATACAGCGCACCAGTGCTGAGATTTGTCATTGTCATTGATATACTTTCGCACGATATTGACAAAATAGTTTTTCACATAGTCACAGACAGACTTGATCCTCAAAAAAACCTTCGTCAAAATCTCAGTCAGTTTTTCGTCAATGACAAAGATTCACCTGGTAACAAAAAGTGTAATTTCAGGCATTCTGAATCACATTTTTGTTATCCAGGCAGTTCAGGGCGCAGATACTTGTGTACTAGAGTGATGCAAAATTTGAAATTTTCGCTCCACAATACTTAAACGATTCCAAATCGGATCCTGACTAACCTCTCAAAATTTAAACCCATTTGGTGAGAAACTGAGATGGCACAAACCATTTGAAGTTTGTATGGGAATTACTATGGTAAAACCAAGATTTTTGTTCATGTCTATCTGATAATTCACCAAATCGGTCTGCTTAAAAAGCTTTCAACTGTACTTGTAGGAAATTTTCCCAGCTACAACTTTGCTCAAGACAACTGTTTGATTAAATGCAAGGATCGAAAGTTATCAATGGTTCAATGCGCTGATGTCTTATGATCATGCTCAATCAACTGCTCAGCAGGTAACATTGGTGTTTCTGGGGCGTTGAATAGGACACAAAAGTCATGGCTACTATGTCACACTGCAAAATACAGTGTTGCCTACAGAGCAGCTGCTTGATCATGTCATAAGTTTACCAATCTCTTAAATAATTAATAACTTTTTCCTGTCTCGTTTTACATAGGAACGATCTTCAGCAAATTTGTAGCTGAGACAATTTTCTATAAGAATGGCTATCGAACTGTTTCGCAGCTCAATATGAAAAAAGACTCGAAGGCAATGAACAAAAAGTTGAGATTTCCCATAGTAATTTACATGTAAACTTCAAATGGCTTGTGCGAAATCTGTTTC